GAGGGCGGGGGTGGGGTGGGGGTTGAGGGGTTCAGGGCTGGGGGGACCTGGAACAAGGGGAGGGGAGGAAGGGGGAGGGATGGGGGTGTGGTATATGTGTGTGTTGGTGGGGGTGAGCCAACCCCAGCTAATGGCTAGGGCCAGCTTTTCCAAGGTGTGCATTCAGATTTGAAGGTGCCTCTCCCCCCTTCTCTTTTCCTTCCTCTTAGAGAAAGAGAGATACCTGAGCCAACAGGTCAACTCAGGTTACCTCAACAGGTACAAGACCCCCGAGGCGGTTGAAGGCCAACAAGAGAGAGGAGGTCCCCTAACCCCCAGAGGTGGGCTCCCCAGGGGGTCCTTAAGGCTGGGGACTCTGAGGAGGAACAAGCACATGATATGCCCCAAACACTTCATGCATCAGAGCCCTCTAGGTCTCTTGCCCCTCCCCAGGGTTGAAAGCTACCCTTTCTTTCCTAGATCCTTGAGAATCTCTTGCCTGCCTGCTGTGGGTAATGGAGAGGGCAGGGGGCACCCCATATACCCAGTTAGGGCTGCACTGCCCCTTCAGACACCAGCTCCTGTCTGAGGCAGGAAGCCCAAGCCATGTCACGAGCTTGCCTGGAGGCTCTGAGAGCAAAGCTGCTTGTGGAGACAGAGAAGGAGAGGGCAGCTGGTGGGTCCCTGGCTTCTGGCTGGCCTGATCCAGGAGGTTTCTTCTCAGGAGACTACTTGTATCTGGGTTGGGGGAGAATACAGCAGGCCTCTTCCTTGTCCCCACATACCCTAACCCCATAGAAAATGCCAGTTCGGGGCCTGTAGTGTCCCCCTGGCTTCACTGCACCCCCCACTTCCCCAGGCAGGCTGCCCAGGCCAGGATGTGGATGGAAACTGTCAACAGACACTTTTTAAATATTTACCCACACTTCTCTGGGCTTTTTTACCCCATCCCCAAGGCTGGGTAAATTCAAGTTAATTCTAATGGATAAAAGAACCTTATTCCATCAGCACCTTTCTCTGGCCATAAATGTCTACAGTTATGTGGACTTAACACAGAGAGAAAAGGGAGAAAGTCAGAGAGCTGTGGCCATGTGTGCTGTGTGCAGATGAATGAAGAAGATGAATAAGAATGATTTTTCTGGTTCTCCTCCTCCACAGTGTGTGAGGTTGTTACACACAGGCAACACGGGGACACACTCGGGATACACACGTACTGTATGTGCTACCTTTCACCCCCCCAAAACATCAAATGCATGCTCACTAAACTATCGTGCATGCCAGGAAGTACCCGTCACCTCACAGACACTGTGCACACACGTGCACATCTATGCACATATGAAAACAAGACCTGATAAACATACACACACCTTTAGCTCTTTGCATCATGAAAACAAAAATGTGCTACCTCTTTTCTTTCCACATCCTGGGGTTTCAGGGTTGGACGCAGAAAGGAAGCAGTTAGAAAACCAGATCTTTTTCTTCCCTATCCAGAGCCCAGCTCTGGGGATGGAGGAAGAAATGAAAGTGCCGGGAGGATGGTGTAGAGAGAAAGAGACCCTCCCTCTCTCTATTATCTAAATATTGCTGGGGAAATAGCCACTCTCAGCCAAATTCCCACTGGAGAGTCACTGGTGCTGCCAGCCAGAGAAGGCTTGCAGGATCCCCTGAATTTGGGAAGAACCCACCTCCATCTGAGTTAGGGACCTACCAAACTCTGCGACACCCAGTACTCTGGCCCTGGAGCAGCAGGAGGGGAGGGTCAGCGGAGGGCTGTGCCAGGGCTGCAGTCCTCCCCAGGGTCCAGGACAGTGGAAGGCATGACAGAGTTCTCCTCCACTACCAGAGCATGCTCCCGACTTGGCTCCAGCCCTGCCTTCTCTGAGCCTGCTCTGCGGGTACTAAGCAGAAGGAGAGACAGACTCTGGGCTCCCAGCATCTAGGTCACTGGGGACTGTCGTAAATGCTTTCCCTTCCCCTTCTGGAAAAAGGAGGCTGGGCAGGCGGGATCCACTCTGGGGCCTGCGCCTTATCTTTTAGGGGGTGGGGGGTATCTCGACATTTTATGGTCCAGCGAAAACCCTGCCACAGAGCTATTCTTCCGGGCCTTTGTGTCTTGGAATGCGACTGTCCCGAGTGTGCCGCCAGCACCGCCTGCTCTGAGAGCCCCTCAGTCCCGAAACCCCTGGTTGGACTTGGTTTTCCCTTTGGGGTGGGGTGTCCCTCGCCTTCTCTTTCTTTCGTTCACTTGATCGTTTTTTCTTTTACACGTTTCTGGTTGATTTCGCTCCCGGAGCCTGGAAATAAAGGAACCTCAAGCAGTCATCCTTGCTGGGACGTCTCTGTCCCTCGCCCCGAGGCCTGCACCGCCCTCCTAGGTACCACGGATTTATGTTCGTTTGTCCGGGTCATTCTGCCTTTTCGTGTTAATTACGCGCTGCCTGCTTCATGCTTATCTCCTCCGCAAAGCGATTATTTTCGACGCCCGCCCTCCTGAGCCTCCCGAGTCTGCTGCCAGAGCGAGGGCCCATCTCCCGCCGCCACTCGCGATTTATTTACACCTCGCAGGTGAGACGATTGATTTGCTCAGAGCCAGAGGGGCCGGGCTGGGCCGGGGTGCGGGGCCTTCTCGTCGTTGCTCCTCGGGGCCGGGCCTCAAATGTCAGCGCGGGCAGGCCGGCCGGGGGCACCGCCGCCGCGTCTAACATTGAGCAACAGCGCCACCTCGCGTCCACTTGCTCCAATGCAGTCCGGCCGGGAAAAGGCCAACAGCTAGAGCAAGCAGGTCCCCAGGCTTGGCCCAAAGGTGGGAAGTGGGAAGAAGGAATTTCCAAATAAGTGCGCGCGTGAGGGGTCCCCAGAAGGGATATTCCCCCGGACCAATGTTCTTTTGTTTTCTAAATTCTCGAAATAAACCTCGTCAAAGGTTTCACACTATTTTCTTTTTGTCACCTCCCTTCCCTTATTAAGAGACACTGCAAAGGAACTGCCACGATTTCCCCAGCATTCAGGCGCATTTCTGGCCTCGCAACACCTCCGCGCACGCAGATGCACGCTCCGAAGCTCCCGCGACCGCCTGCCCGCGGGGCGCACCCTAAACTCCTCGCTCCTCTTACCCTGCTGCCGGCTCCGCAACGCGTATTCCGCCGCCGCCTGCAGGACTTTGGGGTGGGACTCTGACTTCTCCCGGCTGTTTGCCCCCCGGTTTGTAGCCCATCCCTCTCTCTCACGCGCGTTCTCTCCACCTCTCCCTCCCAGCCAGTGAGGTCCTGTTCTCCGTGGGCCATAGACAAAACATTCCTATAATCCGATTTCAAAGGAAAGAGTGTCCACCTTATTTAAACCATAAAACAATTAAGCCCAGACGTCTAGCCAGCTCCGCGCTGCTGTTTTGTTCGGCCCCATTCAGAATCCAGCGCAGGGAGACAAACAGCGCCATAAAAGTGGCATTTCGGGGCCGCGGAAATGTACCTATCCTCTGCCTTCCCAAGTGGAACATCCTTTAGGGTTTTGTGATTCTGACAAAGGAGCAGAGGAGAGATGGGAGGGGAAGATTAGGGCAGGGGAGCGTTTGCTAGCCCCTCTCCCCCCCCCCACCCCAGCGTTCGTTTCTTTCCCCAGATGTGTGCTGTGTTGTTGTGGTTTGAATTCACAAATTGCAATAAATAAAAATCGAATCCAATCCTGACCTGCAGGCTGTAGGCTGAGCTGGTACTGAACAGTGGTCTGGACTGGGTGGGCCTGCTCTGGATCCCACGCTCTGGTCAGGGCCCTCCTTCCTGCCCCGAGAAAGGCCGGCTCCCGCGGCTGCAGGAAGCAGGCCGCGCTGACGGACGGACGAGGGGAGGCGACAGGGCCTTGGAGCAGGGGCGGGGTGGAGGCCCGGAAACGCCGCTGAGCTCGGGCTGGGAGAGAAGCCTGAGACCCGGCGGTCAGGACGGGACAGAGGGAGACGGGTGTCCCTTCCTCCGCCCGGTGCGGAACCGAGGTCAGGCTCCCATAGCAGCAACATGGCCAAGGGGAGGAGTGAGGAGGCGAGAAAAGAGAGAAAACTACAGGCAAAGCATCTTTCAAAAGGACCAAGAAAACAATCGCTTCTGGAATTGGGGAGGTCTCTTTAGCGGGAAAGAGGAGAGGCTCTTCAGCGACTGGGAAAACCAAGCCTTGTTTGTGACCTTTGACTGTCCCCCCTCAAAATATTATCCAAACAAAATGCTCACCCCTTCCTACCTTCCTCCAGCCCCCAGAATTGGAGTATTTAATAGAAAGAGGGGGTAGGAGATTCAAATGATGGGGAAGGGGCTGGTCCCTGCAAGTGCCTCACCAATCCTGTAAGGTGATGCGATCGGGGGAGCTGCACAGGGACTGGGGTCCCCAATTATTTTCTTTTACGGTGCCATTCCCCGAGTACTCAGAGCAACACCCTGCACCCTCACCAGAATGGGCAGCCTGAGATATTAAAGGGCTATATTTCAAGCAGTCTGAATTTAATAGTTTCCAGATTGGGGGATTTCCGAGAAAGGGGGCGCCGGGCCGAGGCATACCCGGCAGCTTAAGTCTGCTTCTGATTAGCAGATGAAAACTGCCAGTTCTGGGGAAGGCGCTCTGGGGTGCTGTGCAGCTGACCAGCCCCATCGGGAGGTTACATACATATCCCCACATCCCTGCGCCAGGGGTTCCACAGCCACCAGGGAACCCTTCACTCCTGGCTAATCCCTGATCAGCTTCCTTGGGTCCTATCTGCACCATCCCCCCAGAAATACTGCCACTCAGCCTAACCCTGTCACCCCTAGATCAACATTCAAATTAAACACCAGAGAGACAGAGAGATGGAGATTGACTAGAAAAGAGAGAACTAGGAGATGGGGAAGAGAGAGGAGCTGAGAACACATTGAGAAGTAGAAACTGAATCTAATTCTGATTGCATTGGTTTTCTCCTCCCTCCCTCCTAACCTTCCTTCCTTCCTCCCTTCCCCTTCCCTCCCTTCCTTCTTTCCTTTCTTCCTTCCTTCTTCCCTTCCCCTTCCCTCCCATTCTTTCTCCCTTCCTTCCTCTTCCCTTTCTTCCTTCCCTCCTTTCCCCTCCCTTCCTTCTTTCCTTCCTTCCTTCCTTTTTTTGGTGCCCTCTCTACTTTCTCTCTCCCTCTCTGCATCCTCCTTCTTCTAGTCTCAATGCAATCCCCAGTGCCTGTCCCACTCCATGAGGCCTGCTCAGTCCTCCTCACTGTTCACCCTCCCTAGTACACTCCCCTCCAGCCATCCCTCGAAGCACCAGCACCATGCAGACAAGCAAGAATCCAACCTGGGCCCTCACCCAGCACCCAACTTTCAACTTCACCTATCTCTTCCCTCCGATCTCATGTACTCATAAATTACTACAATTAATTACAGCCAGGGAAAACCATTCCTGCAGTGCCCTCATCCCTCAGGGACTCCATGGAGCTACCAGGAGATTCACGGGCAGCCAGCCTGGGCAGGCATAAGCTGGACCTGGGCCTCAGCAGCCTCCACTGCACTCCAGGAGCCCTCAGCTCCATCACACCCTGTCTGGAGAGAAGCAGGGGGCACTTGCCCTTCCGAAGTACAGGGAGCCCCTTCCCTGGCTCAGCCTCCCCCAAAGGACCTGAACACTTGCCTCCTCCACAACAGCAGCCTGGGAGCCACAGGGAGGAGAAATAATGAGAACTGGATGCGGTTGGGTTTCTTGTTTTTTAAGTGACTTCGATATATTAACACGGAGCTGTTCTACCATAACAAACAGAAGCACGTTACAGGACGGACTCTAGGGATGAGAGGAAACATTGCTATGTACACGCCCGAGGCGCCGGCCTGCGCCGCCGCCGGACCCAGCCTGCGGCACGGTCCCCGACCCTCGCCCCTCAGCTCCTGGGCTGGGAAGCATTCTTGTGTATGTGTGTGTGTCTTTTCTTTTTTCTGTACAAAATCTGCACACAGAGCACCCCAGGCCTGGGGACTGATGGCCTGGACCAAATACGATACAGGAAAAAAAATAGAAATATAGCGATTCAAGTACTGGCTTCTCTGAAGAAAGGAGAAAAAAAATCACATTTGTGTGTGTCATTTATTTCAGTTGCGCTGGGAGAAGAGAAAGCGGTTTCTCTCCCCGCCTGCTCCTCCTCGCTGGGTAGAACTAACTCTAAAACACCAATTTCTCAACACTGATCCCTCCCAAATTGCAAGAGTTTTCCTTTTCCCCTTCCTTTTTTTTTCTTTTTAAGCTGATTGGCTTTTCTCTATCTTGTTCTTTCCTTTTCTTTTTCGTGCTGTCTCCCGCTTGGGTTGGGGTATTTTTGTGGGGTTTTTTTTTGTTTGTTTGTTTTTCCCTTGGCTGTGCTGAGGCAGCAGGCTGGGGCAGGGTTTAGGATTGCTCCTTGTCGGATTTTTTCTTTATTCATCTTTTTCATCTTCATCCTCCGGTTCTGAAACCAGATTTTGACCTGCCGCTCGGTGAGATTGAGAACCCGGGCCACCTCGTACCGACGGTCCCTGGTTAAATACATATTGAAGAGAAACTCCTTCTCCAGTTCCAGCGTCTGGTACTTGGTGTAGGGGCAGCGCTTCTTTCTCGTGGAGCGGGCGTGGATCCAGTTGGCCACGGGGTTGCCTGGAGGGCCAAACACAGGCAGGGGTCAGTGGAGCCCCTTTCCAGCCCAGGACCCTTGCCACCCCACCCCCAGGCTCAGCCAGGCTCCCCAAACCCAATAATTGAACCTGAATTTGGACACGTTTTGCTTTAGGAATTCCCCCCTTACTCCTTTTGCATCCTCCCCCTCCCCACTCCCCTCCCCTCCC